GTTCATTAGCGAAAGAGCAATACGGACGTGGAGGGAGAATGTGTTCTATGCGCAGCCATGGACGCAAGCGAAACCAGTGGTAATGGAACATCTATGAATGATAACGACTGCATATTTCTGGAGCCAACAATTGATGAGGAAGACCATGGAGGGCATGAGGACGACATGATTGTTGCGACGAAGAAGTACGATATGACAGCCATAACTGCCCACTGAAGCCAAAAGCGAAGAAAAAGGCAAAGACCAGAAAGAATAGGGCTGCAAAGAGTTGAAACTATGAATAAGGGCACACACTTTATTTGATGGTGCACACAATAAATCCTAGTCGGGCACATTATTATTAGCTAAGCTTTCAGTACGCGAATGTAGTTGTATCTGCCAGAAAATTATGCATTATCCCGGGAATAATTACAATTTTTTTTGTTGAAAGTACCACTCGAGCCTCTGTACCCCATGTCAGTGTTTAAGACAATATTTATTCTCAAAATATTACGAAGACTAGGCTGCATCTGCAAAATAATAGTGACCACGCCTATATATTTATTAGCCACAAGTTCACACAATTTAGGGAACCAAGGCACAGATTTACTTAGAGTTGAGCATGCGAAAAAGAAAAAAAAAAAAACGGCACGACACGATCTATTTGTTATGTGTTTATGATGATTCTTGCTTTTGTGATGGTTTTATTTTAGGCGAGTTTCTTTTACTCCATAGATCTTGTGCATATATGATCTCCAGTAAATTGATATCTTTCAAGAAAATTTGTGAGTTGGATTTGGAGTATTCAATTTTTTATGTTTTCTTCCTTAAATTCTATATATCGATGTGCAGTTCTTTTTTCCTTCTTAGTTTTTTTTTGTTTTTTTGTTTTTTGTTTTTTTTTTTGTTTTTTGTTTTTTATGTAGTCCTTAATTTAAAACTTAGTTTGATGAACCATTGTTTACAAACAAAAGGATGGCACCCAGACATTTTAATGGTTTTTATTTGTTCTTTGAAAAATACCATAGAGTTTGTCTTTTATTATGCAGATATGATGTGTGCTTCTCTTATATTACATACACATGTGTATTGACTTTATAATTAATTTTTTTTTTTGGGGTCTGTGTGTGGCTTCAGGATATTTTAATTGCTTACATTGCAACTCTTCTTTGGTGATCTAGAGCAGGTTGGATTGATGTGCAATGCAGAGATCTCGTAAGGATCTTCTTGATCTACGAAAGATTAGTGACGTCGCCTACAAACTATTAGACACCAGTGCACAGAATTTAGAGACCCGAGGCACAGATGTGCTGTGAGCTGAGCACACAAGAAAAAGCGCAGCCAACAGTATTTAACATATCCTAGCAATTTGCGATATGAGTTTATGGCACACGAACCACATAGGGGAGCACATAAAAAGAACAATAACTATGCACCAAAATTGTAGGACAAAAAATAGATTAATATTCACAAAAATTAGGCATCTAAGTTATACACAAAGTTCACGGGTGAAAGTCGTAATGGACCGTTAAAAGAATACACCAATTCTGATAATGGTCAATATACTACACCCAACAGCTACCAAAAACAACATATAATTACCTAAACTATGGTGCTACACCCTCCACCCGAAAGATAACGCACCGCATTCGCCACATTACTCGTACGGTTGGCATTGATATCTACAGTGCAAATCTCTTTCATGTACTGAAAGCGTAAGCGCTCAAGAGCTGCTCTGTCGCCCTTAACTAAACCACACTCCCATCTTCCCATCCCTTGACCAACATAAGTTTCCATATGGCGCATAGCATAAACCCCACTGTCGACTGTGTTCCTCGAGTCCCGCCACTTCATCGGCATCCTCTTGGGGTCTAAATCAAGACACAAACCCATCTTATATCCCTCACCAGCGGCTTTGAAAACCTCGAACAACAACAATTGCTACAAAAGAGAAAGTACCATCATCATCTACCAACCAAAAAGCGACACAAACCAAAAAAAAATGGGGAAAAAGAAGAACCCATAACGCAACATACCAAATGAATAAAAGATTCACCATACTTCATCGAAGTGGGCTCCGTCGAAGCAGAACTATCAATAACGTCAATGTGTTCATTCACAAAGTCCACACATGCGATATAGAAATGATTTCTTTGCATAATCGGGAAGAACAACTGCAGAATAGTAGATGAGATATAATCAAAATATTACCCAAAATTAACAATAGAAGGAATAAGAAACAATATAGGCACACAAGAACCATGCAACAGGCACACAACCACTAACTGCAGTGCACACAACCTAAAGCGCGAATGCACACATTACTCTCGGTCAGTGCACCCCAATTATAAACTAATACTCAAAAGGGACAATATATATAAATATCAATGGCAAGGACTGTAACACCCCCTAATTTCCAGGCTAATTTAAGCCTTAAACATGCAGATAACTAATCAAAACATCAAACACAGCGGAAGACTGAAAAAGGATTATATAAACTGGAAATGAAAGGGTGCTATACCACGCTCACCCAGAGGTGAACGCACAGGCCAACATCTGCATGATTCATAATCTAAAATCCATACATAACCAAAGTACTAAAGTCTATCCTTGGCACATAGGCCATAACAACTCAAACATGGGAACTACACTAGCAGGTTCTAGACCGCGGTCACGTCTACACATCACCTGAAAGAAACACATAAAAGATGGGACGACGCCCGGTCAGCGAATAATGCTGGTAACCCACCAATACATGTGAAATATCATACATAGATAGATAGTATATACAAAATCATTTTCGAAACGGAATATAGTATATATCAATTTCAAAAGCCAAGAGCGGAAGTCAACACAAGACTCTAAGCACTCACAACAAGATAAGGGAACACATCCCAAGACCACACGAGATACAACGACTCACAAGAACGGCTCAAGGTATAATCTACCATCACACAATAGATTAACACCCGACATGCATAACATAAGAGAATAAAGATACAACCAATGGCAACACATGCCTTTGTGACTACACACGTCACAAGAAGAGAAACTCACAACAACGGCTATACAAGCCTTCGTGACATCACTAATCACGAATTGATATGCCTTCCTTATGCCCGGTTCCAACCTTATGGCTACCCCCAACCTTATGTCTAGTTCCAACCTTTACCTCCAGGACCTCTGTACAACCAAGTCCAACCTTTTCCCTCCTGGGACCGTCGTCCCCCACCAACAACCACCAACAAGACCACCAATTCATAGTACACGAGGGTACCGATCACACACACGGCGACACACGCCTCCTAAGAAATACGTGAACCCGACACACAGGTCACAAACTCCATAATCGCCTCATGGCCACCACGAGGACCACTGCCGTACCTTGGTGATTAAGGCCCCATAAACCGAAATCGTGCAATCCAGGTACAGCCACACACACCACACCACAACAGGAATCAATCAACGGATCACAACGAAGATATGAAACCATACTCAATCAAGGGATGGATCACAGTTCAACAACAATGATGATTAACACAAGTCATCATCAACAATAGGAAGGTACAAACAACACACACGCTAGCATTTAAACACCGAACTAGCACTAGTACAAAATAGAGCAAAGAAATATGACTTTAGGCTACCCTTCTTTAAATAAGGGTAGTGTATTGTTTTAAAAAAGGGAACGGTGGCATAATTGTAAATAAATGAATAAGAATCCGCTACCCTTTTAATAAAAAAGGTAGCGGCTTTTTTTTTTTTTTTTTTACAAAAAAAGAATAAAATATCCACTACCCTTTCTAAAAGAAAGGGCAGCGCGGAAATGGATCTGGGTACAAAAAAAAATTAAAAAAAAACCTTCAAAATCATATCAGATCTCGCTCTCACACCTCTCAAGCTAACAGAAGATGTCGTCCTCACCACACCTCCGCCGTCTACACCGCCTCCCTCATCCTCCAACGACGCCCCTGACACCGCCTCTCTCACCACGACTCCCTCAGCCACCCACGACTCCGCCACCACCGCATCCACCGCCAAAGTTCTCCTCAGCCACCGTCGCGGCTGCTTCTGCGACTTCCACCGCCGCATGCTGCGAGGTTGCCGCCATCTTCGTCGCCATCTTCGCTAGTCTTCGTACAACAGAGCAAGGTTTCCGGCGTTCTTCGTACAGTAGCGCACACAGGACGCAGGTCGCCAACGTCGTCGGTTTTTATACAGCAAAGCAAGGTCGCCGTTTCTTCTTCTTCATGGGTCGCTGGCGCAAGAAGGTATTAGTATATTCAGATCTCTTACCCTTTCATTTATATACATATTATTGTATAGAGAGAGACTCTGGCGATTAGTATATGATTCTGATTGAACAAGTCTGCAAGTTTAGCCATACTCTGTTGTTCTTTGTGGAAGGGAAGATCTATCACAAATTTGATATGAAGCCTCACAATAAAAACAGTGAAAACTATGGAAACAATGCCGTGAAAGGACAAACAAGTATATGACCAAAAGTAGACAAATATAGGTAAATATTTTTTATGTTCGTGATTTGATATTGATCAATTTTCTATTATAGTTTGGAATAATTTTGAACATTTGTTCTTTCTTTTATTTATTAAAAGTATTGTCTATTTCCTGAATTCCTCCACTCTTTTTGCAGGTTATTGACAATGATAATGGAAAACATTTGAGGCCAATACCAGGGATTTTTGCTTCAAAGCCTTCTGGATCTGCAGTAATTTGCATCTTACCTTAGTTGAACTTTTTCTTAAATTTATGGGAGAGGTGTACTCAAACTATATGCTTACAGATGCCAACACCATTAATGTGCCTTTTTAAGGTCTTGTATTTAATATATGGTTTGGTTAATCTTGATGAATGAGATATGTTGCTTTTCTTGTTTTGTGTACTGTTTTTATTTTACCTAAATAATTTTAATGTATATTTACAGATTTGGCAGGTGATCTTAATATTTGAAATCTTTTTAGTTTCTGTGGTATTTAAGAAGTGTGATTAAGTTGCTTAAGAGTTAACTTATATTTTCTTTTGTTTTCATTTTTGAAAATGGTACATGTCAGGGGTGGAGCTATCCAGTTCCTGGGAACAAAGTGCCGCCATGATGAGTGGTTGAGGGATACTGAAAATTATGGAGTGAAAGGTTTCTTTGCAATGTCAAAGTTGGGGCATGGCAGTAATATCTGTGAAAGTGGTTTATATAGTTTAGTTCTGTCAAATGAAATGAATGCAATTCATCATCCAGGAATGTTAATAGTGTAGGATGTTTGCTCTATGATTTCCCAAGTTCGAGGTATTGAAACAGTCACAACGTATAACTCGAGCACAAGAGAGTTTGTTATAAACACTCCATGTGAATCAGCTCAGAAGTACTAGATAGGAGGGGCAGCTAATGTATGTAATATGACTCGATCTTATGTATATATGTGTGCTTCTGAATTCAGTGGCAGATGTTTCTCCTGATGGCAAGTATCTGACTGCAATTAAGGATCCTGATAGGGTAACCTCAATTAACTTTTAGTACCAATGCTAAACGGTGTCTGTCTCTGTCTTGTTGTGATCTTCCAGTTCCTTGGCACTGTTTAATGGTTTATGTTTCAGAGATTCGGGAGCATTCATGGCGCCTTTGACAACAAGGCGTGTAACCATACCATCCATTGTAACTTACTCAGCAAAAGTAAAACACATTACTCTTCTCTGATTTAGTATTTCTGAAAGATTGATAAGTATTAAATTAGAACTGTTCTGTAATAACACTTGGATATTCATCAGGTGGGCATAGCAATTGCCATAAGATACTCATTGACAAGGAGAGAATTTTCAGTCACACAAAATGGACCTGAAGTTTTATTGCTTGATTACCCCAGCCATCAAAGACGACTACTCCCTCTTCTTGCAAAGACGTAAGTAGATGTGTCTGCATTTCTCCTCATTGCCCTTTCCTTTCTGCTTGTGTCACGTTTTATGTCACAATTTTGATTCTATACTTGGTTAACCGAGGTTGTTAATAACTAACTAAGCCCTCGCCCTACCACTATTTTTGTTATGACTTTTTCCTGCTCTTCTAAGTGAAAATTGCTTATCATTGTTGGGGTGTTGGGGCTGGTTGTGGAGATTCCTCTTTACACAGTAATAGCCATAGTGAAGAGCCCATACATGCTGTTCAAGGGATGGTATAGATTGACACATGATCTTATCAGCCGAGAAGGTCCTTTCTTAGAAACATCATGCATTCCTATTGCTGGTTTGACAATCTTGATGTAGCCGCTTGTTGTTATTGGCAGCATCATAATGGCGATTTTCTCGAGTTTCTTCATCGGGGTGTATGGAGCTGTTGTCGTGTACCAGGTTAACATGTTGTCTATTTTCGTCTGTCTCGACTGAAAGTTTAAACCGACGAAACATATTTCACCTCCATTGTTGTGTTCCCATCAGGAAAGGTCTTTCAGGAGGGGTGTTGCCTATGTAATTGCAATGGTGGCAGAATTTGACGAGTACACTAATGATTGGCTGTATCTCAGAGAGGGATCTGTTCTCCCAAAGTAATTATTTTCTTCATCTCTTTAATTTCTGCAGTTTTCTGAGCTTCATTCATCACTCTGCAGAATTGCTAATCATTTTGATGAAACCCAGGCCTAAGTACAGAAAAAAGAAGGTTTCTGAGCAGACAAAGTTCTCTACTATGAGAAGAAATCGTTCGATTCAAGGTAAACTAAACGCGGTTTTCAGTGAAGCACCTGCAATGCTTGTTCCGAGTTTGACAGCTTCAAGATCAATTAGGGAAGCCATTCAAGAAGTGAAAATGGTTCAAGTATTCATTCATCCACCTGTAGTAGCTTTTAAGATTGCATATGGTTTGCCCACACGGGCAACTCCATTTGATTCCATGAGCTTTGCTGCTAACTTCTTGAAAAGGATGTATGTGAAGAGGAAACCTGAAATGATCAAAACCTTACATGTTGTTTCAAGTGCCTTTAAGGCTACCTTAAACTGGTATAATATGCGAACACACTTCAGCAGACATCACAGTTGTGATCAAAATGTCTTGTGGAGTCCATTTTTAACTTTTATTTTAAATTAAATATTATCTTGTGTTTATAATTTATTATTGTGATGAAAGTATTGAGATTGATTGATATAAAATATTGTATTGATAGCATTGTATTGAAAGTGCATTGATAATATTGTGTTCATAAATTGTATTGATATGTAGTTTATGAATTCTGTACAAGATTTTTTTAAAAATTGGGAAATTTTAAAATAATAAATGATTTTTTTTTTTTTTTGTAAAAAAGTAAACTATCCGCTACCCTTTCTGGGGCAGAAAGGGTAGTGGAAGATTATGAAAAAAAGAATAATAATAATATGCCCTACCCTTCTACAGTTAGAAGGGTAGCGGATGCTCAACTTTCCGCTACCCTTGTAAAAGGGTAGCGGAAAGCCCAGGGCTTTCTGCGACCCTAACATCTGCTACTCTTGTACAAGGGTAGCGGATAGTCTTTTACAAGGGTAGCGGATGTGTATATCTGTACTAGTGTAGCATGCTTATCAAACGGGTAAACCAAACATAGTTCCGAAGAACACACAAGACTCATCACGATTCAACGAAACACAATATTTAACACTTAGCACGATTCAAGACATCAAAACCTACATGGATTCCTACCATATAGTTCTAGACATACGAAACATCAAGAAGACGCTCAAATAGTTTCACAAAAGAACATCGGGAAGTCAAAAGACCAAATACCGAGTCAAAAGAATCACAGGGAACAAATCCCCCAACAACCTCATCATGTTCCCCGCGGGCGGACCCACGGGTAGACCCCCACCCGTGGTTCCGCCCGCGGGTACACACCCACAAGCCACATGTACCCCGCGGATGGGGCGGCGGATGGACGCCTACCCGCTGTTCCACCCGCGGGTACACACCTGTACACCAAAATAATCCCTTCGGGGATTTCCAACACCAAGCTCAAATTCAAGTCCAAAACATGCCAAATCTCACCAAATACAACAAAATGACTTGAATAAATGGAATAGCCAAGCAATGGCATACAAGAACCCTAAAAACAAGCTCTATATATGCATTTTCACAAGACAATGCATAAACACTCACATTTCATAGCAAAATCACATGTAGAATCCAAGAATCATCACATAGGTAAGCAAAATAGATTTTGTAGAGCATGGGTTACCTCTTGTAGACAAAAACCTTCACTTAACACTTCACCAAGCTCCTACTAGGGCTCACCTTCCAAACCCACTTCAAGAACAAACCAAAAGATCATAAAGATTCTATCTTTAAGAAAAGACACCTTAGAAAACACTAAAAACACAAGATGAACATAGATCTTACCCTCCTAGATGCTCAAATGTATGAAAGGTAGAATCTTGGAGGCAACCTTTGAAGATTTGACAAAGCTCCAACTTGGCTTCGAAGAAAAGCTATCTAACTTTTAGAGAGAAGGTAGAGCTCAAGTTTGGAAAGTGTAAGGAGAAAGAATGAGGAGTGTCTACTAGGTTAGCTTGCATTACTAACACAAGGTGAAATGTCATGAATACCCTTACTAAAATGAAGAGGTGTAAGGGAACAAGGGAACTACTCACAAAGCTTAAGGTACAACCTTGACTTTGGGTTGACTAGTCAATTACTAGTCCCCGACTATTGAATTTTCAGGAATTGAAGAAATTAAATTACCAATTGAATTAGGATTAATTACTTAATTAATCCCTTAATCGAATTTGGATTACGAGGTGTCACAAGGACCACACAAATAGACCACAAATAACTAGAGTTGCAAACTACTATTTCATACCATATCCCCCCACCCCCCAAACTGCCAGAATAATCGAAAATGCCACGACAAGAAAAAAACAGAATACATATGAAAGAGTAACAAAGCACTTCCACGCCACACATTTTTAAACCAGCATACCTAAATAAGTGCACACACTACCAATAAGAAAAGCACACAAATATACAAAATGGTGCACACACAATAACAAAAACAAAACAGACAACACAGCCTTAAACCAGTAAACTGTAAAGAAGCACTAATATCCAAAAAACACACAATGGACTAAACTATTATATAAATAGTATAAGATCAATTCTAACTAATAACACTTTGATTAATTCTTATTTAAAAAGACACAGCAAAATAACAAAGAAAATTGATAAAATCTGTCCGGTTAGGAAAACAAAAACTAATTGTATTGACCGAACATAATGCAGTAAATTACTACTATATAATCAATAACTAATATAAGAATTCAATCCCTATACTATTTATATTCCGTCATAAGATAATTGAATGCTGCACATGCCAAACCTAATCTTACAATGATGAAAATCCTCACTAAACAAGTTTTCAAATTTTTTTTATATATTCTTTCCATCAACGAATGCTATTCAATTCAGGAGTTAGAACACAAAAAACCCACAAATACCCCATATTGGCATGATTCAATTGAGATAATGCCTTACAGGATACACATGAGGCATTATTAGGAAAAAATGTTAAATTACAGTACACTTATGTTTATGCTTCTGAACTAAGTTGCAATTGCAAGAAAACACAGACACGGATGATCGAAAAGGGGGCAGAAATATAAAAACAATGGTTTAATAGACATGCATGGGCGACCCGCCGCCGGAGATAACGGAGCCTTCTGCTTCGACCGACGAGAGCCGCAGCCGTCCGCCGTCCGCTTCGACCATCGATGACTACCAGCGCCAGCCATTACTACGATCGCCGATTGTAAGGAGAGGACTGAACGCACTGTGCTCGGAAAATAAAAATCAAATGGGGAAAAATCACTATGGAAAGAGAGACAGAGCGTGTAGGAAGCAACCTTCGATAAAAAAGGATTACAAAAAAAAAAAACTAATTAGTGAATTACCGAACTACCCCTACAATTAAAAAAAAAAACCCACGCATCACATTAAAACTCTCCATCTAACCAACATAAATCTCCCTAAATCTACACCATCCGTTATTTTAATCCAATGCACCAGAATAGTCCTCACAGTCTTCTATAATATCCTGGTCCTCATTTGAATACATATATATATATATATATATATATATATATATATATATATATATATATATATATATAGGGTAGAGTTCCAGTGAGAACATGTGCTTAGATGAGAATGTTAGAGCACATCATGTGCGTCCATCTAATATTTTTTAATGGTCTAGATTAGATTAAGTGTGTGCGAACGCGCATTAAATGTGTGCAATGCGATTTAGTGTGTTTGCACACATTTAATGCGCGTTCGCACACACTTAATCTAATCTAGACCATTAAAAAATATTAGATGGATGCACATGATGTGTTCTCACGTTCTCACCTTAGCACATGTTCTCATATGATCCTAACTATATATATATATATATATATATATATATATATATATATATATATATATATATATATATATATATATATATATATATATATATATATATATATATATATATATTAGAGTTCAGGTGGGACTGCGTCTTAACGTGCGGTCAGTGCGGCCGCACCAATAGTACACAAAATAAATAAATAAAAGGTACACATCACAAAAAACGCACCATTATGTATGTATAAAAGCACCACACAGTGTTCGAAAATACACAATTAGGAATGAGGAGTTATGGTTCATGTTTTTGGTGTGTTGTGCGTTTTTTTTTGGTGTATTTGTGCATTCATTGTTGTGTTTCTTCCTAACACTATTGGTGCATTTTGTTAACACTATTGGTGCCATTTTAAAGCAGTCGCACTAACCGCACGGAAAGGCGCGACCACATTTGAGCAGAAGTCTATATATATATATATATATACTGGTTCAAATGCGGCGCCTGTTCTCGTGCATCTGTGCGAATTATACCATTAGGTATGCATAAATGCACCACAAAATATTCAGAAATGGACTAGGGTGAAATGCACAAATGCACCATATATAAAAGTACACAACCCTGGGACATGCGGTCATGCACCATTACGTAAGTATAAGTGTACCACATCGTGTTTAGAAAATCTGCACCAACTTTACTTTGCAAATTTGAACACTAAAATATACACTTATCAGATTTTTTCAAGAATGCAAATTTAGTTGTTAAAAAATGAATATTTAGTATTAACAAAATATGCATTTAGTATTTAGGGTTATAGATTTTAGAGTTTATGATTGAGTTTTTTGTTTTATTTGCGTTAGGGTTCAATTTTTACTACTTATTGTTTAGCATTTACTATACAGTTTAATTAGATATAAAATTTAGCTTTTTCATTAATTTTTAAAAATTTTATCAGGATTGCATATTTAATTGTTATAAATTCGATATTTAAGTATTCAAGCTCGCAAAGTGAAATTGACTTGCAAAGTGAAGTTGGCGATAATAATGAAAATTCCATCACATTTTTTTTTTTTTTAAAAATTTGATCCGATCCATTTGATTTTTCAGATGTAAAGCTGAGATTAGTTCTTAATTTTTTCTTGGGGTTGTGTTCTCATAGGATCGTAAACATACTGAAAAATGTAATACTAGTTAGAATAAAGTATTTGTTACTTATACGGGTAAGTGTAATATTTTGAGGAAAAATGTGAAAATATTACATTTTTGTTCAAAAGTATTACACATTTACATTTTCCCATATAAGTAATAAACATTTTATTCATTATTAGTATTACATTTTCCAATATTATAAGTATTACGGAGTAAAGTTTCATCTTGACCCGATCCGTCTCAAAGATCTCACACATATTTTTGCGTATTGATTATGGGTCACACTTGTGTGAAACTGTCTTACGGATCCTTATCCGTGAGGATGGTCGGGTCAATATGAAATTTTAATACTTATACTAAACATTTTATATTAATTAGGAATAAAGTATTTGTTATTTATAAAGGAAAATGTAATATTTTTTATTAAAAATATAATACTTTTAATCAAAAGGTAAAAGTAATATATTTATCTTCAAAAGTATTATACTTTCACATATATATAAGTAATAAACATTTATTCCTTACTAGTATTACATTTTCTAGTATAAGTATAACATTTGATATCGATCCAACCCGTCTCATAGACGACAATGATATGTGAGACAGTCTTACACAAGTTTTTACCATTAATTATTATTGTGATTAACAATTAACAATTTAAACTATCTAAATTATTTTTTTGACAAAACTATCTAAATTATTTTACTATGCAC